GTGTTGTATCCAAAGTTAATGTAAACTTGAATAATGTACTTCATTTGAATGTAATAATTATGTTGGTTGTTGTTTGTGGAAGCTCCAGTGACTGAGCATGAACTGAGTTTAAACATCACTTTCAATGGAAGATCCCCAGAGGCCCCGCCCACTCGATCGGATCGGCCGATACTGATTCCAGCGATCGGCCCCAAAATTGGCGACCGGCGCATCCCTACTTCGGATACTTCACAAGTTCAAGTTATTCTGAAGCCCTAGAATAAAGATATAACAATAAAGAATTCCACATATTGGAAATGATTACATTAAGTTCAAGGTTCAAGGCTTTTATTGTCATCGTCATAGCTACAGTGTAGTTATGACGATGACAATCTTAGGTCACAGGCTCCTCCAACAGTGCAACACATTAAAACAGATAATACTGCAACCAGTGACAGCAGGTGAAGTTGATTCAGAGCATAACCCTAAAGTGTAATGCCAGCCTTTAACAAGACTAACATGGTTTTCAAATCATTAAGGAGTTTAAAGTGTAGTTGGGTTTATCTGCGACCGACCTGTTTGTTGGCCTTCAGCACGGTCCTGAGCGTAGCGATCTGTTCTCTCTTGGTGCTGAGGAGAGACTTGAGTTTCAGGACTTCCTCCATGAGGCTCTCAGCGTCTCGCTCCGACTCTCCGCTGTCGCTGAACCCCGAGTACGGCATCGCGCCCCTCTGACGGCACAGGTCCACCGCCACCTACAGAACACACAAGTGGAGTTATTATTAAAAACAAAAACCTTAATCTAAGGGTTTACTTTTGTGTCTAATAGCATAGGAGTGTTTTATTATACTGCATATCAAATATCACTTCTTTTTTTTTAAAGTTGCAGCTTCAAATGACTTCGCCATTGTTGCGTACTTATTTGTCTTTATTTTATTACTGTGTGAGTTTCTTTTGTACCTGCTATGCCCCTTTTGTTATAACACTGTACATTTAAAACACACACACACACACACACACACACACACACACACACACACACACACACACACACACACACACACACACACACACACACACACACACACACACACACACACACACACACACACACACATCTATCTATCTAAGATGTCTCTACAAATATGAAGTATGGACTAGAGCACACGTGATCTGTGTTCCAGACACACTGCTGTTTCCTGAAGGTATGTTCTCTCTAGAAGCAGACACATCTCCTCTTTGACCCTTGTAATCCATTGAAACCCAAGCGCACACGAGAGCTACTACTCACCTACGTCTGAGCTGGGCATTAGGTTAGGAAAGAAATGTCTGATGAAGGGAAGACCTTCATCAGAACAAAAGCCTGACTTCAAGTGATCAAACCAACATGAGATAGTTCCAATGGTACCAGTTTCCAGGGTACAACTGGACACTAGAAGGACTGATGACTCACTCCCTTACAACACCTCACCTCTGACTAGCAGAAACGCCCAGCTCCATAGTGTCTGTATTTAACCAGATTGCACTTTTTCCCCTTTTAATAACAATTGTACTTATTTGACTTCAACTCTACCTCATTGCATTTAAATAAACACTATATAACATATTGCACTCTTGCAAAAATATATGTTTATATATTTAGTTTTAGTAGTAAGTTGGTCTATAAGAGTGAATTCCATTTCTTGTATATTTTACATTTTGAATTCTATTAATACTCTACAGATATTCATATTATTTCTACTGTTGATTTGTATGCATTGACTCATTTTCAAAGCCATGTCAACATGCTGCTGCAACCATTTCCTGATTTTGTTTTCAAATAAGTATATATAATCTAAATCCGACATCCTGTATATGTGATTATCAGTGCTTCTTACCCGGAGGTGTTTGATCTGGCACCGGATGACGGCTACCAAGTTGCAGACATTTGAAGGGTCCCTGAAGTCCAGGGTCGGGGATCCAGGACATGCGGGAGAGTCTGAGCTGGTTCCCGCGCTGTCCACCTCCCCCATGAACTGCAGCACCGAGGCTTTGGAGTTGAACATGTCGTTCGCTCGCGGCTTCTTCTGGGCGCCGTGCTGGGGGTAGATGAGGTGAGCTCTCCGTGCTTCCCGGTAAAAATCCAGCGTGACTCGTTTGGGCGTCAGGTTGTTGCACACGCAGATGTGATGGTAGAGGTTGGACAGCTCCTCGGAGAAAGCCAGCAGCTCTTCCTGGGCGACGCTCAGGTGCCCTTCTGAATCGATGGCCACTTTCCGCGTGGCTCCGATCTCCTTCTGCAGCTCACTGATGCGGTCCTCGTCCTGCTTGCTGGATTTGATGCAAAGGCGGATCTTGTCGGCCAGGTCCTGAGCCTCGGCCCTCCAGCGGTCCTTCTCCTGCTTGTATCGGTGCTCCAGGGTGTTGTAACGCGTCCCCGCCTGAGACAGTTCATCTCTCAGCTTCAGGAGGTCGTCGCTGGCGGAGCGCATGCGGGACTCCAGCACCTCCTTGCTCTTGGTGTCCACCTCATAATCAAACTGTGCTTCGTCTCCGTTTCCTTTGTCTTCTTCTCCGCCGTTGGGCCGCTGGCTGCTCTGCACCTCCTCCAGCTGCTGGGTAAGAGATCCCACTTTGTCCGCCTGCTGACTGAGAGCCTGTTTGGACATCACCAGCTGGAGCTGCAGGTCCTCCACCTTGCTGGCCAGACTGGACTTGTCTCGTTCTGCCTGGATACGAGCAAACAGACACAAAACATTGTTATGTTGGCGGCGTGAATGGCGGACATGTCTCAAGCCCCTCTCCAACTTTGCCTTTTCATTGTTTTGTTTTTCTTTTTGATATTAGAGTTTACATATTTATTTATATAATAAGCAGTATTACATTTTACATTCTGTATTTATTGGTCTTATTTTATTTTACACGTTAAAGGTGTAAGAATGGAGAAACCAGCTCGAGTGCGCTAGAATTTGAAAGTACACAACCGGAAAAAATCTGCCACTTCCTTCAGACTTCCTCACAGAGCCCCTCCCCCAACACACATGAACGCGCACATGACCAATGAGGGCACGAGATAAGTTTGTGCACAGATGGAAGGCTGACAGGCAGGTAGGCCATCCAGTTATCGTAGCCGGGCCGGCTCAGATGGTTGGTCGTGCTTTTTACAGCGCCACGGCTTCCACAGATGAATTTTTTGTATGTATTTATTGTCAAAGCATTTAATGTATTCATTGCTATCGGGATGTTAAGAGCATTCCATGGAATATAACAAAGTGTTTCTGAAGTGAATTACCTCCCCCACCTTTAATAGTTTAGTTATTTTACCTATTGCGTCACTTGCACCGTTTTTTTCTACTTTCATCATTTTAATTTCATTGTATGTAAAGTACATTTTATTTTGCATTGACGGAGGAGTCTGGGCCTTAGGGTTTTTATTGTTTAAAATAAGCTTTAGCCTTTGTGACAATAAAACCATTGAATCTTAAATGTGCTCAAATTGCTGCTGTCATTAGTTCAATAATCCTCCATTTTAGTTTGAATACATGCCATTAAACCAATATTGATTGTTGACTTGATTCAATAAAACAAAAGATTACTAAACATTTCTTGCCCCTCCACCCTTCCTCTTGATCCATTATTTATAACACTGGCTGACCCCCTTTGGCTCCACACCCAACATCTGGTGGGTAGTAGCCCTATAACCCAACCCCCAATTGTAAGTGCATCATGAATAATATATTTCCTTCAGAGGAATGACAGCTCAAGACATTCTTAATTTTCTTGAGTACCCATATTTGAGAGGCATGACCGTATCAGGTGAGAGTTAACTGAATTGCTGGGTGAAGTAGATGATGCAATGTGGTGCCAGGTGGTGTTGGTAGAAAGGCTCAATCATGTACAAACATACAGGGATTGTAGTTTCAAGCAGGAAGCACACATCCACGTTACAAGACACACAAGCAACCTGTATGACAACCTCACTGCTCAGCCTGATGAGAACAGATACTTTCATGTCAATGTATATATACATTGTCTCCTGTGTGTGCATGCATGGTGTTCGCAGTAGCATGAAGGCTACTATTAAAAAGGGCCTGTGTTCACATAGCGCCCTTTAGAATTTGAAAACATTTCAACTCTTAACAAAGTGCCGGTGACGTCGCTGTAGGAATTGTAGGAGGCTTGTCTTTTGACTGTGTCTTGCAGAGGAAACCTACCATAGCAAAGACCAACATTTGTTTGGTGATTCTTGTGATTGCAAGTATCTTCCGGTTGGTTGTAATGGTGAAAATGGTCAAATAAAAACTAGCTGTAATATTTTATAAAATCCAAGAGGTTGGAAAAATGTGCCCTGACAGTTAAAGGTCCTTATTATACTGTTTTTCATCAATATATTATAGGTCTCAGATATATACAAAACACGTCCCTGAAGTGTTTGGCTCCAAATACCAGACAGATCATTGCAGCATTACCCATAATCCCCTCTGTTTCAGTCCTGTTTCCAAAGTGCTGATTCTCTTGCCCTGGCCACACGAGGACGAAAACGGCTAAACGCATAGGATTAACGCGATCGCAAAAAAGCTTCCGTCCACACGCAATATTCACCGTATAGTGTCTGTCCACACGAGACCGCTCCGTTTAGCTCCAACCGCTGGAGAAGCTGCAGTACATATGCCGAGCCTGTACGTGGCGCTGTAACTTCCTCCATAAAAGCAGCGAAGAAGCATGGTTGTCATGGTTGCCCTTCTGTTTATTCTCCGCGGTGGGGGCCGAGGGAACCGGGCAGAGTTTTTCGCCAGTCAACGTGTATTAAAGTTTAAATCTTCCGACAAAATTATAAAAGTGCCGGTCAAAGGTCTTCTTTGTTATTTATTGAGCTTTAAAACAAATGAATAACGACTCTATATAATATAATAATAAAATACACGGAGCCTCTCTTTTTCCACCCTCTCTTCGGACAGCGCCAGTGTCTGTTTCATGCAGCAGCTGATCCAGTAATGAGTGACCCGGCCGACAGTAAAAATAAACATATTTATAACTAGTTTAGGTAGTTTGAGAGGTGTCTCCGTCCTGTCAGATTAGACTTCACTCGCGTGTATGTCCATATCGAGAGAAAGATAAATAATCTGAATTCAGTTTGCAGTTTACTTTGACGCGGGGGTGAGCAGCAGAGGTGGGGAGAGGCGGGGCTATTGCCTCATCATTATCAGAAAATGATCGTATAGGGCGTACACACGGAGCCGTTAGACGCCCCAGAGCGTTGCGTATGCCGTTCTATCCACCTTGGGACCCGTTATCGTTTCCGCAGTCGTTTAGTGCCGTATTCGGTCGTCCTCGTGTGGCCTAACGGTCTATATGACACTAAACAGTAACGCAAACGACCGTTTTCGTCCTCGTGTGGCCGGGGCATCTGTCTGTTACTTTAGATGAAAATAAGGAGCCACTCCCCACGCCCCTCTGAGAGAGATTTGGTTACAAAGAACTCAATAGCCGCTTTCACACCACGTACTTTGTAGTACTTAGTGCCGGCACTTAGTGCCCCCAAACTCTTTAGTCCCTGAACCTGTCCTAGTCGATCGCGTTCACACCAGAATAAATCCCTGAGGGAGGATTACGCAAATGAAGCCGCTGATGTCACTTCTTCTTCTTCTGCTTTGGGTTTACTGGCAGGCCGCAAACCACTTCACGGCGTATACTGCCACCCGAAGTCCCCGGCCGGAAGTCCCCGGAGTCCCAGCAGCTTCTACTGAAGCCTTCCGAGTAAATCGCCAGAACGCCGACACCTCCTCATCTCCACCGCTCCCATGTTTTCTTTTGTGTTGCCATAAGTGAGTCTCTCTCTGTTGAATCTCTTTCCACAGAGGGGACACATGGTGATGTAGAAGACATGAAAAGGTGGATTTTGCATAATAGGTCCCCTTTAATACATTTTGTGAGACAAGTTCACCTACCTGCAGGAGTTGCTGTTTTAGTTTCTGACTGTCTGAGAAGTGTAGCTCACTCAGCAGGTCGGACACCAGCCCCGAGGCCGGAGCGCGGGGGAACGCCATGCTGCTGCGCGGAGTTGAGTAGCGTCGGATATGGCCGTTATTTTTGGAGCCCCCCGAGTGAGGAGGGTGAGCAGAATTGGGAGCAGAGCCAGGACCATTGTTAATGGCGCTGTCCTGGTCCACTCCCCCCTCACCCCCCTGGCCCTCCTCCTGGCTGTCATCCAGCTGATCCAGGTGGAGCTCCAGGTTCCCCATGGACTCAAAGGGGTTGAGGGTCAGGGAGGAGAGCTCCCGCCGCAGACAGTTCTTCTGCTCCCTCTCCTCCTTCAGGGAGTCCAGGGCCTCGTCCAGCTGCCTCTCCAAGATCTCCCTCAGCCGCTCCGTCTCCTCCATCTGAGCTCGCAGCTCCTCCTGCTCCTCGTTCTTATGGGTCATCTCTAGCTTAATCGATTCAAACTCCACCTGAAATGTTATCACAACAAGAGGCAAGTTTATTTATATAGCACCTTTCAACACAAGGCAATTCAAAGTGCTTTACAAAAATGAAAGACATGAAGAAACATTATAAAAAGGGCATTTAAAAACACTCAATTAAAAGCAAAGGTACGTTTGATGCAACAGATATGGGTGCACGATTTGGGGAAGAAAAAAATCAATTGATTATTTAGACCGATATTTGAGGGATTGATCATATTTAATTCATAATGCTAGTTGTCATTAAAACATATTTTATAGTGTAATATTGTAAGAGCGTATGTACCAAACATATGCTTTGTTAAGTTGGTAGGCTACTGTTTGTAGGCCAGGATATTTCTGCAGCTCCATAAAAAAAGTATTCGTGTACTCGAACACATATTTAGTGTTGATCAAATATCTGTACAATAGCGTTAAACACCCCTTTCGGCTTGGGTGGACAATTCAGGTCTATTCTTTTTATATACAAATTAGTACTCATGCACTTTTAAACATGCGGCTGTATGGATGAGCTTCTTTGTTGGTTTACATAGAACCCTTCAATTATCCCGACAGCAGGCTGGAGAGGGAAGGCTGGGTGTTGCACAAAATAACAGGCCTTGGCTACACTTAGTCATGGACAGTTTGTCTTGGCAGAGCTGCAATAAACACGGAGAAGGTACATCTGCGTACGGAAACAGTTGCCTCTCTCCCTTTAGAATCCAAGCAACATCACTATTTAATATTAACACCCAACAGTACCATTCAGAGTAAGTTACCAAATGTTCTAGCGACGTCAGAAAATGTCAAATGCATTTGGAAGGAATGCAGGTCGGAGCGCGGATTACATAGTGCCACTAAGTCTAGACAACATAGGCCAGTTCGTAAAGTTATATCAGCATGTGACGAAGATTATACATTTGTACAGTCAAGGCAGTTTTGCCCTCATATAGTGTTCTATAACAATGAACCCTATGATTAAGTGTTGACATCCACTTACAAGAACTTCACCAACACAAAGTATAGAAAGTAAAAAAGCTAATTTAGTAAAAAACAATAGTATGGCACATCAACATTTTTCTCCTTTAATTGCATATTTCTACGGATAGTTTTAATATCAACTTTCTGGATAGCTACAGTTTCATTAATTCATATTTTCAACAATCCATCCATAGAATTACGGGCAGTGCGAGAAACTTGTAGCTTGAATGACGAATGAAAGACAACTGACCTGGTTCTCCTTGAGCACGGACACCTGTTTTTGCAGAGAGGTGTTCTCCTCCTCTAGCTCGCTATTGTCCTGCAACTGGCGCTGCTCACGTACTTTGTATTCCTTCATCTCGTCCCTCTGATGGCCCTTTTCGGCATCTAGACACTCACACTCCTGTAGAACACAACTCAAGGTCAAATCAATCCAAAGCAAAACATTTGAACTGCACAATGAATGTAATAAACTTCACATTACATTTCCCTTTGGGAACGAGGCTACACAGCGATACATCCTCCAGTGGTTCATGCTTCAATGGCACGCATCAGGACGTGACAGGTCGCACAGTTTCACAACATAATAATCGATACAGCATAGTATCGCAATACTTTGCCTGGCGATATTGTAGGGCTGCTCGATTATGGCAAAAATCATAATCACGATTATTTTTGGTCAATATTGATATCACGATTATTAAAAACGATTATTCATTTACTTTGAAAACATCCATTTATTGAACTTTAAAAGAAATGTGAACGGTATGTTTTTAACAGTTGATTCAACTGAAAAACCAATACACAAAGATAATACATTTATATCTACATTTAAGTAAATCATATCAAAATAACAAATACCAATAAAGAAGATCAACAAATATTTTGGAGCGCACTTCCACAACATACTAAACATATATAAATATGATAACCAAGGTCACTCACAACCGGTCACGTTTAATCTGCTACTCTTATTTTGGTAACCCCTTATCTGGAAACTGGAAGTAGCCAAGAGGCTCCGGCTTGACGAGGGTAGTCAAAGTTGACCGTATGCTAGAGACCGGAGATTCTCCGGCAGAGGGAAATGCAGCAAAATAATCGTTTTATTTCGATAACGTTGTTTTCGTAATAGTTGCAAGCCAAAATCGAGATTAAAATACGATTAATTGCACAGCCCTACGATATTGTATCGATACACGGACGCCAAGTATCGATATTTTATCATATCAATTATTCATATTGCAAATCCGACTGAGCTCGGCAAATTCTGAGCGAGCTAAGAACATAACTCAATCACCTGCTTCATGTGCAGAGACCTGCGTCCATACGGCGTCGTGGAGAACGAAGGCTTTTGCCACATGTTAAAGACACTGGAACCCAATATATCATGCAATCACATACTGTATATATGCGCAATATATCGCAATACATAGCATATCGTAGAATCGCAATACTATCGTATCGAGGCTTAAGTATCGCGATAGTATCGTATCGTGGGGAGCCTGATGATTCCCTCCCCGAAACAACACCTTTAGATTTACCTTCTTTAGCTGGGTGGAGACCACCCCCAGTCTATCGATCTCTGCATGTGCATTGCTCAGAGCAAGGCGTGCTTGTTTGAGCTCTGCCTGGACTTCATCCATGCGAGTTGTCAAGGCGGCCTCCATAGTGGCCGTCTCCTGCATCAGGTTCTCCTCCCGACACTCTCCATCGGCAGCTGCACGCTTCTGGCTGCTCACAGAATCTGAAAATGCCTTTACACAAAAAGAATATGGTTTAGGAACGGGCAAACCCGGCGGTATCTGTCAGCTATGTTACATATAGGATCAACATTTCAGTGCATAAGGACAATAGAGTGGTGCAGTGATGATGTGTTTTTATAGGCTGACCCAGAAGTTGGATTTGCGAAGGGTTCCCTCGACAAAAAGAAATAGGATTTTGCCATTGGACTTTGGAAAAGTGTCGGAAAAAAGATCTGCGGTAAACAAACGTTTATGACATTTACACGTGTTGTAGATAAGGGTTATCTCCAAATGTTAACATCAACTCATGATTATTGAAGCAAGATGCAATTGCCAAAAGCAAAACGCTAACAAGGCTATCACATTCACATGGCAATGGTTACCAAGCTAAAGGCGGATTCCTGTTCTGCGGACGCTTCTCATTATATCCTTCAGACGAGGAAACAGGAAGAGGGGGAAAGCACACTCACTTCAGAGTTTTGTAACCTATTCCTGCACCACTCTTTTGCATTCATGCTGTACTTCTGATACCAAGGCAACACATGGAGACATCTTAAACCAATGAAATCAGCCCTTCCCTGACACCCATCCGGTTGAAACTGATTACATTGAGGATATGGCTTTGTAACGAGACACCTCGGCTTCCACACTCGATCTGTAGATGATCCGAAAGCATTGCACTTAGCTTGTAATAATAATTCTCCAAAGTCTGCCATTTTCAGCAGCCATGACACATGTTGCATCAGTGACTGCGAAAGAATGATCAAATAGGTGTTAGATAAACACGCTTCTGAACACGCTCCACTGATCCTTCTGGTTATATAATGATGCTAATTCACAACACGAGTCCGCCCTGCTTTGTTTAAACCCTGGGTAGGTACACAGCCCAGACATGAGGTTTATGCAGATTATAAACATAGCTGAAATACTGTACCACTGCGTCCCTAAAGCCATTAAGAGCTTTGCTTCACATTTAGTTATGAAACATCAGGATGGACCCGTGTTGATGTGGTTCTGGCACATATGTATTGCTTAATACTCCACTGCTTGTGAACAGGATGTTAAGCACCTCACTGTAAAAGAGGTGGGTGAAACAATTACAAATCTGCTCACTTGACGGCATTACATTTGATGCGATTACCCTTTTCATATGAACCCATTTACAAGCCTATTACAGCAATACTAAATACATTCATTACCCGTCTGGTGCTTTCGTGACAAAGTTAACAATCAGGAAACAAGTGAACCCCCAACACATGTCCAGTGCTGGCATGAGCATAACTTTAATAATGACTTAAAACAAAGACAAGTGATGCGTAAGTGCTTTACAATTTGTCAAAAATCTCAGTGCACTGTGATACGCAGCATCTAACTTGCTCAGGTAATGGGCAGGTGCATTCATTTATAACAAATCACCATAGTCCAGCACAGGTAAAAAGGTCACAGAGCCTTTTCCTGACCTCAAGCGAGAAACAGGACTTATTTCTGTAAAAGAAACCTAGCCTAACCCTCAGCTTTTTAAGCAGGTTATTGACATGAAGTTTAAAAGTGAGACAGTCATCAAGCCAGATACCCAAGTATGTGTAACAGGTAACCACTTCAAGTTGTATTTCTTGCGTAGTTACAATATCCAAAGCAGTCTCTTTACTAGGCAATGACTCAACTCGTAAAAGCATAATACTGGGAAGCACAATGCAATGCATACGTCAATTTGAATAGATCCGTGAAACACATGGATTACATTGTTATCCGACGGCTAATCTTTTTGTATTGGAAATCCCTAATGAACCAAATCCATATGAAATGATTTTCAGTTAAGCAGTTTAGGATGAACAGAGAACATGTGCTGCTCTAAAGGCACCGGATGTGCTGACTAATTGGCTGTTTGAGTTGTCCTAATTAATAAACAGTGTTCTCCCTTCGATGCCATCAGCTTCAAATGACATACGAGAGCAGAACTGACTCGGTATGCAATCACAAGCCTCTGCATTGTACTCATTACATGAGGTCACAGCCGGTACAGACCTGGTATTGTGATGGCAGAAGGACAGGGTGGCCAACATGCAATAAAGGGATGAGGAACCAAATTAAGGCATGGCTCACTAGTATGTAAAAATTAGGGCCGGGACTTTAACGCGTTAATTAAGATTAATTAATTACACAAAAATTAACGCGTTAAAAAAATTAACGCATTTTAATCGCACTTATTTTTGCACCGCGGAACGTTTCTCACTGGATGAGTTTCAGGCGTACCGATTATACTGGAGCACCAACTAACGTTCATGACTTCAGACAACAACAAACCACAGTGAACAACAGTGGGAAATGTTGTTTTAAAAAACGGACGGATGGAAGCGTCGATAAGAGCACGGTTGTGTGCAAATTATGCAAAAAGGAATTCGCATATCACCGCAGCACATCAAGCCTCAAGTATCACCTCAATGCAAAACATATAGCAGCTAGCGTGGACGTTAGCCTCTTTTATCGCGTTCACACCAAAAAGAGCCGGTACTAAAATTAGTTCACCCCACGAGAGTCCCTGCTAGAGAGCAGAGAGCTGCTAGAGAGCAGGGACTTTCGTACGGCTCTCTTGTGAGAAGAGAGCTATATGTCTGATTGGCTGGGCGGATTGCAAACCACGCCCCGTAAAACTCCCAAAAAGTTTTGTGAAGCCGCCATTGTCGCTATATCCTCGCATTAGCATTATTAGCATTAGCCCAGCGCAGAAACGCAGAGAGACTAACTTATGGCAACACAAAATAAAACATGGGAGCGGTGGAGATGAGGAGGTGTCGGCGTTCTGGCGATTTACTCGGAAGGCTTCAGTAGAAGCTGCTGGGACTCCCAGCAGCTTCTACTGAAGCCAGTCCCCAACTCCGGGGACTTCCGGCCGGGGACTTTGGGTGGCAGTATACGCCGTGAAGTGGTTTGCGGCCTGCCAGTAAACCCAAAGCAGAAGAAGAAGAAGTGATGTCAGCGGCTTCATTTGCCTAATCCTCCCCCAGGTTCAAAGAGTTCTCATGAACCTTTGTGGGAAAAGTACTGCGGTGTGAATGTGCCTAATGGTATACTAAAATCCATGTGAAAAAAATTGCTTCTCACTGTTCTCAGGTCAAATATTTATATGTGATTAAAAATGCGATTAATTTCGATTAATTAATTACAAAGCCTCTAATTAATTAGATTAATTTTTTTAATCGAGTCCCGGCCCTAGTAAAAATACAACAATGGTGTCTTTATAGGACTACTAGGTACACTGCAAGGAATGTCCTCGACTGTTGAGTTAAAAGGAGCAGCATCAATAGATAGCCGAGCATTTACATTTTGCCGACAGTCTCACAACAGCAGGGAATTCTACATTTTTGTACAATGCTATTGCAGGCTAACGATAAAAGAGCTGTGATGATACTGGTAAAATGCATCATGTTTAAAACATCCTGCAATAGACAAAAGATTGCAGCTTTTGTAGAAGAATATTCTGTGTAATGTAATGTGCATTATACACGCAGGACAGAGGTTTTACATAGTCCTCATCAGATAGGTATTATGACATTTGAATTCAGGAAATGTTTGTGTTCATCAACAACCAAATCAATTTGATGCAAAGACAAACTTGGTTATTTATAAAAAGGGGAGATTTCTACTTTTATTGTGTGAACGATACATGTTAGAATATATAAAGCAGTAGTTCATTGACAGACAATAACACTTGCAATGCTGAAAGAATTGGTCTTTACAGCCTAATGTTGTCTACATATAACTGTGATGCCTTGGGTGCTCTTACCGCTCTGAGTTGCAGCAGCTCCCCTTTGAGGACTTCGTGCTCCTCTTCCAGCTGCCTGTGTTTCATCTTCAGAGCAGAGTTCTCCTCCAGCACCTCCAGGCCATAGCGCGCTGCCTGGAGCTTCTCCTCCGTGGCCTCCTGGAGCTCCAGATTCAGCCGCCTCATCTCAGACGTATAGTCTCCGCTCCCCATCTCGGCCTCCTCTCTCTCTTCTGCTGCACCTGCTGCGTCTGCATCCGCCTCCAGCATCGTTGCTTGGCCTTCAACTTTGCTGCCAATGTTCTACTGGGAGTCCTGCCTCCTTCTCTCCCCCACTCTCATTACTCCACACTACAAAAGGCAAAACACAAAGATGGTGATTATGAAAAGGCCTTTTCAAAAAAAGCCAACAATGGAAAGAGGTTTTGTATAAATCACATTGTGATGAAAATGCAGCAAACTGCATAGGGCAGGATCATCTTTGGGATTGGTTGAATGGGAAAATGCGTACCTTCAGCCCAAAATGGCAAAAATCCAAGCCATTAATTACCGTTTTTAATGATGTAGTTAGCATGTATAACTCACAAGGATTTACAACTAGCATATTGCTGCTATTGGCCTTCTTAAACAGGCACAACATCAGAAAATGTAGAATCTTGTCCTGGAGCAGGGACCTTTAAAGTGTTATAGCAAAGGGACAGGGCGGATACAAAGGCAGACATAAAGCTAGTAGAATAACATGGTAAATACATAGGAAAGCACCTGCTCACAATAATACTAAATCAAATAGGAACACATAAAAAAAAGTAGCAGCATTATAAAAAGTGAACAGCAAGTGACAACATCATAAGTGTGTACAAGGTGTATATGTTGCACATAGTGTAGCACAGTCCTCTTTCAACCAGTCTGAGCTTTGAAGACGCAGCCAGTTATAACATGAGTAAATAGTTTACATTATATATTACACATTGTAGTGTTATAACACAACCGTGGTGTTACAGACGATATTGTGTGGTGGTCATGGGGATTATTTGAATGGGTATGTACTTTGAACTCAGAAAGCCAAATGACTATCCAAGACATAAAGGACTGAAGTTAGTAAATATGTATCTGGACTAGAAAACGATCACATTTCTGCTATTTGCCTTATTTAACAGGTACCGATAAACCCATGGCATTTCAACACCGTCACTGGTGATTCCTGGCAGGCACCATCCCACGCCTTCAACATCAGCAACGGTACATCTTTACAGAACAAGCTAGCCTTATAGCTGGTGTTAGCTACAAGGTTATGACAGCTGGTTAAAGTGTTGTATTTTCCACAGAGTAGCAGTGATTGGAAACAATATGGATTAACTTTGACGACCCTCATCGACTGGGGTGGGGCGGACATCCCCCATCTCCTCCTCGTGTCCTCTCCTTTGACCGAAGATGGAAACACCACACACACCCGAGTGATGCCAAATGATGCATCACATAAGCATCTGTTTCCCTTAACCCTCAAACTAGCGTCAACTGAGATTACAAGAAAGGAGGTCAATACTCTGACATTAAATAAGTCCTCACTGATTTCAAAGTATGATCATTAGACGATGAATACTATTCTGACAGTGACACAATACGGACTATGAACAGGACACGGACGGCTAGCAAGTGTAGTTATATCAATGCTAACAATTACTAGCTTGCAACGTCGTATTAAAGCATTTAGCAAGCTAGCTTCTTGACTTTATTTAGTTCGTTTATTTAAACAGGCTTAACGGAATTTACGATATTACATGTGTTTCCACGCCTCAAAGGGTTGTTCTCCGTTGTCTCTAACGTCAGTCATGTCCTGTCAAAGGCGCTAATTAGCTACCGCTTAAACTGCGACCATTAGCACCTACTCACCCTCTCGGTTTCCCTTCAAAGATGGAGAACGCCAGTTGAGAATAAACGTCCCCTATTTACTTCCTTGGGGAAATGACAGCGGTAACGGTTTCTAATAACGATAGTACCCAGGGTACAACAGCCGCTTCCCTTCCTCCCACCGGCTCTCTGGTTTCAGGCATGGATGTATAAAGAGAACTGGAGGCGGGACTCCGTTCATTCCTATGAGAGATGCTCAGTGGCGCAGGAAGGCAACTGTAGATTCAGAAAGTACCCGGATCATCCGCTTACTGAGCATGCGCAGTGGAGTTTTCTCGCATCCGATCCTGTGATCCGATCTCCCGCTCTCGGCTCATTTTTTTACATTTTGTATCTTTGAGAGTTTGAGACCCTATTGATTTTAACAGGGGCTATACAAGTGTTCGTGTTGGGGTACTTTATTTAGCTCAAAAATATATTTTCTATATACGCTGGCTGATCTACAGACGTCTGTTTCCCAATGTCAGTCCAGAAGAAAAGTCTTCTGGTGCCAAAATGACGTCATGAAGGTTGTAGTACCACCGTTTGTCCACTACGGCCATTCATAAAATTGGCTTCAATGGCCGGAGCACATCCTGGTTTCAGGTCTGGATGTCAAATGCGCGCCGAAATCATGAAAGCACTTTCACCCCCCCTAGCTAAGCAACTGCGCAATGCAATTACAACATGTCTTTATGTTCTGTATTTAATAGAAGAATAAAACACATTAACCTACACAATTATGCACATTAGACAGTTACAACATTCCCTTGCACTATTTTATTGCTTCTTTAATTAGTTTTTTTGTTTATTTATTAGGGTAGGGGTTAGGGTTAGAGTAATTTAAAATCCTTTGAGGCGCTTATGTTTCAGTCAATAACATTGAATGCCGCTTATGTTTTAGTCAATAACATTGAATGGTGCATATAAAGTATAGATAACATTTAAAAAACATTGTTCATCTTACAAATCAGTAAAAAAAAGGCACATAAACACCAGTGTTCATTACATTAATTCAAAACTGAGGGAAGAAAACTGAAAAAACAACAACAAACACATGTGTTCCCCCAGGAATTAAGCATGATAAGTTAACCAACATAAGAGAAGTAATAAAATAAATGTACAAAATACACTTCCGGTCGTACTTTTTTTTCCTTCCGTTCTACTTCCTGTATGTGCGTTTGGCTGCTGCAGCTCAATCTCTGTATACATCCATGCTGTCTGTCAAAAAACGGTAGATTTATTTATTGACTTACAATGAAGATCGTTACCTGGAACATAAATGGCATAAGGACTTTCAGAGGAGGCATTAAAAAGGCTCTTGATTCTCTGGACGCGGATATAATCTGTGTTCAAGAGACAAAAGTGACAAGTAAGTGGTGTTTGCTTGAAAACGTGGAGAGGTTGTCATGTGGACATGAAGTTTGTTATGGGAGATATTAGAGGTGTAACCCCTTAATGTTTCCCCCACAGGAGACTTGCTCGATGAGAGGACTGCCATTGTTGACGGATACAACTCTTATTTTCAGCTTCAGTCGAGGACGCAGCGGCTATTCAGGTTCATTACATTGTCTTATACATTGATTTTTACGGCTTTGAATAGTTATGTACAGTTTTTTCTTTTACATTATATTTGATCGACCCAGACTCAATAGTGTAACGTAGCTAATTGCATATCAAGTATTTTAATTGTGTGCAAAATCGAGGTAGTATTACGTTTATTTGAGTATAAATATTACACTTTTTTACTACATTACATACATTTGACAGCTGTAGTTACTTTACGAATTAAGATGTCTGCATAAAAACACAAGAGTTTATAAAGTACGATGTTTTATTATTAGATACAGCTTATACAAATACAGCCTATTCGATTAATTGGCCAATTGAGAGATCAGTCATTCATTATATAATCATTTAATCAATAAACATGAGGTTCATTTTCTAATCTATTTTGAATATTAGTTGTGTTTTTGCATTTAATATTCCATTAACATTTACTGTTTATACTTACTTTGACTTAAGTAACCTTTCCAATGCAAGTGTTTTTACTGTTTGCTATTTGTACTTTTACTTACTTGAAGAATGTAAATACTTCTTCCACCAAAACCCCACAATAGTCTAGATTAAGATACTTCTATTATTAACTTGTCACTAATCCACACTGAACCCTGTTAATGCCACTGCCCATTGTTACACATTCTTTACAGATACCTTACTATAACCATACAAACTAATTCCCGTCCCATTCCTCACATGCACAGGGGTTGCCACTTACTGTAAAGGCAGTGCCACCCCATGTGCTGCTGAAGAGGGTCTCACCGGTCTGCTGACCCACCATGAAGGAGCTGTTGGATGTTATGGAGACCAGTCTGAGTTCTGCAGCGAGGAACTGCAGCTTCTGGACAATGAAGGACGAACCGTTATCACACAGCACAGAGTCATGTAAGAGATATCAGATTTTCTATTACAAGTCAAGTCTAGTCAATTTGATTGATATAGCCCAATATTACAAATGACAAATGTACTACTGGAAGGTTTATATTCTGCACTGTATATGATACCCTCTTTCCTTTCAGACGCTTTGGACTAGAAAGAAAACCCTTACCAATCTTTTATTGGGGTAAATATTTAAGAAAACCTCAGTTATAGCGATTTAAGAAGGGATTACTCTTCCAGGACGGACCTACAATAGATGGCGTGTTTACAGAATAGCAACACTGAAACTGACTGGTTTTCGGACCCCCCCCCAATAAAGCAAAACTGCACGTTTCAGAGTGGCCTTTTATTGTGGCCAGCCTAAGGCACACCTGTGCAATAATCATGCTGTCTAATCAGCATCTTGATATGCCACACCTGTGAGGTGGGATGGATTATCTTGGCAAAGGAGAAGTGCTCACTATCACAGAGTTATTCAGATTTGTGAACAATATTTGAGAGAAATGGTTATTTTGTGTATATAGAAAATGTTTTAGATCTTTGAGTTCATCTCATGAAAAATGGGAGCAAAAACAAAAGTGTTGCATTTATATTTGTGTTCAGTGTAATTACAATATTGAATATCCATAAAACAAATTGGAAGAGAGACAGGAGAAGAGGCTGAATCACTTTAATGACATTGATCCAGGACACAGAAAGATACTTGAATTATGCAATTCAAGTATCAGAAGAAATGTGTAGATCAAAACAGACACGTTGATAACGACCATATCAATGTCGTAATGTTTTGTGTCCATGCTTCTTTTTGACTCTCACAGGTGTCAGGACAGAGAACAAACTGTAACTGTGATCAACGTGTACTGTCCGCGGGCCGACCCTGAGAAGCCGGAGCGAAAGCAGTTCAAGCTTCAGTTCTACAAACTGCTTCAGAGTCGGGCTGAAGCTATACTGAGAGATGGCAGGTGAGAGTTTTCAAAGACTGAAAATAAAGATTATAATTCAATCTTTACACAAATATTTCAACTTTCAATCTGTTGTTATTTTTAAATCTGCTACATTTGACCAGTTTACAGCTGTTGCACGTTTGAGCTTGAACATCACACTGCTGTCATGAGTGGATAAACACTTAAAGTAATTTACAATGTGGTAAAAGAAACAGCTAATGTATGACTTATTTTGGAAAATGTACCATGAGAGTTTTTGCTACTTACTCTGTTATCCTCTCTCTTTTTTTAAACTTCCAAACTAATGTTTTTCCTGTTCTATTTTCAGCCAAGTGATCGTTTTAGGAGATGTAAACACGTCTCACCGGCAAATAGACCACTGTGACCCCAGCGATATTGTAAGTACATTTGAATGCATTCACATTTGCTCGTCTTTTAGGAAATGTGATTTTCCAATATCTTGCCAAGAGTCAGAGAATAGGATTGATACCAATCTCATGTCTGCATATGAAGTTACAGCCAGCAGTTGGATTAGCTTATTTCTGACTAAAACAGCTGAGACACTAAACAGCTGATCAAATGTAAAACAATCACTGGCAGCTTTCAATCTCATATTTCATGTGTATAACCTGCACTGTCTACTGCTCAGCTGTTCAACGTTTCCAGGGGTGTTATCTATCGCATCAAGGAAGCATGTGGTGGTGTTATTATATCAGGCTTATTTTGAACAAGAACAAAACTCTACATTTCTCATTACTTAGGAGGATTTCGTTGAAAACCCTGGGAGGAAATGGCTGAATGGCTTCTTGCACAGTGGCAGACAAACAGAGGAAACGAATGAGGAGGAACCCAACGAAGAACCTGAGGTAACTTCCTCAGATCCCGTCCACGGTGGGAAATTTGTGGATACATTTCGCCACTTCCATCCGACTCGCACCAGCGCCTTCACGTGCTGGTCCACCATGACTGGAGCGCGGCACACCAACTACGGCACGCGCATTGACTACATCTTCGCCGACTGCCAGCTGGCCAAAGAGCAGTTTGTGGCGGTGGACATCATGCCGGAGGTGGAGGGGTCGGACCACTGCCCTGTGTGGGCGAAGCTGAGCTGCTCCCTCCTGCCCAGCTCCAAAGCCCCCCCCTTCGGCACATGCTACCTGCCAGAGTTTGCAGGCAAGCAACAGAAACTGTCCCGCTTCTTTGTTAAGGTGGACCAGAAATCGATTCAGTCCGAGCACAGGGAGGGATTACCTGGATCTCAGGAAGAGGAGGAATTGAGGGAGAATTTAAAGCCATCCGGAGCTGGAAACGCCTCTGGTAAAAAACGTTTATTAACATCAGACTCCGTTGTTCCAAAGGGGAAAAAGGCTAAGACTTGTCCAAAGCCACAGGGCAGCCTCCTCTCCTTTTTCAAACCCAAACTTCCAACGGCTGCTCCCTCTACCGAAGCCCCTGAAAAGAAAACACTCGGCACGGACAAAGTAACCTCTTCGCAAAACTCCCAAAAAGCGTACACAACCAGCAAAGACACATCCTCAGTCACAAGCAGCGAAACTGTCCCTGAGCTCCTCGATGATGCTTCAACAAAGCTCTGCACCTCAATGAAAAGCGACAAACCGATTAATCTAAAACCTTTAATCCCAGCGCCCGATGTGGGACAGTCCGGTGCCAAAAAAGGGGCTTCGTTGGGGTTCTGGAAGTCCGTGCTTCATGGTCCGCCTCCACCGCCCTCCTGTAAGGTCCATAGGGAACCCTGTGTGCTGCGTACGGTGAAGAAGGAGGGGCCGAACATGGGGAAACAGTTCTTTGTTTGCGCTCGTCCTCAGGGACACGCCTCCAACCCCGACGCTCGGTGTAGTTTCTTTGCCTGGGTGGAGAAGGGAAAGTAACATATTTACTGTGTGGACTGCAAGGTGTTTTTCCCAGATAGCTTCACAAGTACTGTAAGAAAACCACACACATGTCCCAGCATTTCACACATTCAAATAGTTCACTGTATGTTTCTATGTTTTTTTTATTATAATAGTATTACAAGATTGTTGTTTTTTTCTATTGAAAGTAATTATTAGTTACATTTGTTTTTGGAGCTGAAACAATTAGGCAAATAATACATTAATTGTCTTTTAACGGAAAATGTATCTGCAACAAATGTAATAATAATTTTTCAAGAAAATAAAATCTTGTTCCAGCTTCTGAAATGTGAGGATTTGCAGCATTTCTCTCTCTCATGTCATTGTACATCATATATATTTGATATTTCTTTACCAGTGGTTGCACAAATCAAGCAAATTAGAGATGTCACCTTGGAAACGATCCTTTAATAATGAATCTAGTATGACAACAAATAATTGCATAAAAAGACTTGTTGCAGTCCTGCTTGTTATCATACCAGATGGTGTATAATGTATATTAAACTGCCATCTGTAGGACAGACTGAGTTAAAAGTAAATGGTCTGCAAAGGCTCAAATCCCTGTGTTCCCTCCAGTGAGTTTCTCTCCTCCTACTTTTGTCTCATTTACATCAGTGACTTTCTGTGGTAGCCAGTAGATGGCAATGATGGTAGACGGACAAAAATGCAGAGAAGAAATGAAAAGTAACTTTCCACAGCAACTCTTTATGCTGACATCACCACGTGCAGAGCCAAATTACAACCACTGAAATGCAATGTAATTTAAGACAAGATTATTAAAGATAAGATGAACCTTTATTGATTCCCGTAAGAAAATTGGATGTTAAAGCAACAACAAGTATAAGATTCTAACACAGAAGTGAATAGGCAAGAGGTCACATAAGGACACATAAGAAGTATGTAGGCCAGTATCATAGATGGATTACTGAGCTGGCCTACTGGGCACAGACACAGGGCCCCTCCAGGCATTCACCTACAAATGTCACTCAAAGAGATGCATAGCGGCCAGTAATAGACTAAAAATAAACACAGTGACATTAAACTACTAGAAGGAGAAACCAAAAGACTAAAAACAGGCCTTAACAACTACAAAGAGATGCAGAGAGACATATCATTAATATGAAAAGTTATAACGTATATGTTCCTATGAAGAGATATGGTGGGAGCTTTTGCACATATGTTCCCAGGGGCACATGGCCAGACAGAAGTGTATTTCATTTGTCGTTTTTTTATTTGCCTGTTTTAGGGCTGCAGAAACAGGGAGTGGCTTGACTTGTGACATGGCAGGAAATATCTTCACGCGGCAAATTACTCTCAAATTCTCTGCCATTTTTTTATCTCCTCTCACAGCTGCGTGTCTGAGAGAAAAGGCAGTTTTTCTGACGTGGACCAGGCCACGCGTTTTAACTCTACTCTACTTCTGTGAAGACGGAGGACATCCATCTGTCTGACTGCTACTGGAGAAGTGAGTACCTTCAAGGCCGGCAGACTAAAGCTGCTCTAACAAAAGCCACGAGACAATTCCCATTCATACATGTGGAAAGCTACTCAAGATAAAATATGATGTTTACTCCAGTGTATTGACAGTAGAGATAGAGATGCCATTATTTTCAACCTGTTTCTTTCATTTCTAAGCAAAGGATGTAGTGATATTGTCCTTTTGGTGACATGCTGGCAGTTGTTAAGCACATGGGATTTAAAGACGCACTGACACACATGAGACCATCATGAAAGCTACTTCTGGTAACACTGTTTGGTACAAAAATAACATTTGATAAATGTTTCCTTAAACCATATTTTAGCTATAAAAGTATGTAATTATATGTTCGATGCTTTGTCCTGTATTTTTACGAATCACTGGGTCATTTAAAGTGACGGAGGCAGCCATGATAAGTACAGACCTTGAACCTGATATTTTGCCAAATCTTTCAAACATGGACATTTACTTCCTCTTTTATTATGATGTCAAGCTTTCTAGAAATTAAACACATTTTAAAAGGTATGACAAGAATCTGCCAATCAGTTTGATCCTGTAAAGCACTTTGAATTGCATCACTGTATGAATTGTGCTATACAAATACATGAAAAGGGAACACCCAAACAAAGCATAATAACTTTGACTTTGACTTTGATAATATGGCGGTCCCTTTAAATGTCCCACGTCCAGTGTCACCTCAGGTCTTACACTATTTGTTTAGGAACAAGCTCCAGTAACTTGTAAACATGCACAATGTTCCCACTCTTATCACATGTGGGCTATCTTAAAAAAGATCTCCTAAGCTAATTACCATCACTGAGACTTCCAGCAGGAGGCCAACTGTCACTGAGTTTCAACCCACACCGTAACAAAGCCCCCCCTCAGCTCACTCCCATTTTGCATGCTCGGGTAACGACATGGTCATTGGTGTCTAGTATGAACCCTGTTGAATTAATGGGATTACCTGTAGCCTTGTACTTGCAAACCGACCCTCAAAACTACAGGCGATTCCTTTCCATTTGTTCAAACCCTTGTGTTGACACCTTTTCAGTGCAGACACCTGGTGAGCGGACCCCTTCAGTCTCTTTCTCCCTGCATCAGGTTAAACAAAGGGTTAAGTATGGGTGTTGCCATTTCCCCGCTCACTCCTCCCTGCCTGTAATCTCTCTCACTCTCTCCTCTCTTCACTACCAAGGAGCTTTAGAGAGGAGCTCCTAGGAACACAAGGCCAAACATAAACATTGGAAGACACACACACACAGAAAATTGAGAGGGCTCGCACCAGGATCTATTCTGTCAATATTTAAAAGAAAAGTAGATTTGTTCTTGACCACCAGGGTAAGTTTCTAAGATAAAATGAGTGTGTGTTGAGGAAGAGAAAGGAAGGGCTGTCTGTCAATAGTGAGCTGCTGTTGCATCAGACGAAAGCCATGTGGTGTGTAGAGCCACAGAGTGAGGACACATTAATAACTACTGGGTTTAAATTAAGAAGTCATGGTAAAGATTGTCATATTTAGCTTATTACTCTAATTGTGAGAGTTTGTCAAGGGCTTGAGATGGGTTTTTTGAAATAAAGCTTTTGTTAGATGGATGGAAAGTGCTTGTTTAGTTGTTTCATCTACTTTATTCCAACTATCAAAATCAATCAATGTGTATTTATATAGCCCAATATCACACATTTTACATTTGTCTCAGGGGAATTTACAGTTTGTATGTGACTGTTTCCAGGCTGCCTTTGTGAAGCAGTTTTATGGAAAGTTTTCTAGTTAACCAGGTTTGTCTAGTATCCCATCTCTCTCACATGAAAATGCAAAGTATGGTACTTGTAAAAGCTGTGGGACTAACTAACTCCTCAAAACTGGCTATTTGTGGAAGTTAAATGACTAAATATTCCTGACATTTACCCTTAACTCTGTCGGTTGTGTGTGTGTTGGCCGCAGGCCATGGGAAAGTCTTGGGGTATGTAGTGGAAGAAGGTTCCTGTTACCACACTTGACCTGAGGCAAGTATGCAGGGAAAAGGCTACTCTGTATTTAGACGAAATAGCACGTTTTACACAGCAACCCTTTGTCTATCTCTGTGGCTATATCAAACTGAGGATTATTGTGCGTCCACAGGCCAGCGCATTGATGAGCGTAGGACTATAAGAAACTCTGGTTTTGTGTGAAACTCTTAAGGAATGGCACAATGTAGTGTGAGTGTGTCCTTTAGGGGTCAAATGTGAAAATCCTGAGGGCAGTAGGAGTGAAGTATCCCATGACCCCGGGCAGCGGCAGACCTACGCTCGTTCCCATGCCAGCTTTCTGTGGGCCACAACAGATTAGAGCAATATAAATCCTCTGACAACATTTGTTATTTAAAGCCTTTCATGTAACACAAGCTCTAATTGGACTTAAGTGTCCCCTTTTTTATTTTGTGAACTATTTGTGTGAGGGTTTTAGTATCCTGATATCTGAGTTCAATGATTTCTGAAAACTCAACTATCACCCCCTGCAGGAAAAATTACAGTGGTGTGAGTCTCAAGACTTTAGAAATAGGTCTGCCCTTTATACGCCACATTTTCCGTTTGTGTTACAACAATCTGATTCAGTGTTTCCTGTGTGCAGTGGCATCCGTCTGTTTGAGTACACATAGCAGGTATGTTTACCTTTTAAAAGGCTGAGTTTATTTAAAGACGTCTGCCACTGTGACACACCTTTATATCAAATATGTGGTAGAACAGAGCCTTCTCCACATCTATCTCGTGGTACTTTGCTCTTTTATTTAGTCTTTACCTGTCCTCTTTCTGATTCCTGAAAGGAAAAGTCACAAGCTACTTGCAGTCTTCACACATGAAACAAATGATGGAAAGTTGCCAAGATCGATGCATGAAGCGTGTTTGTTGTGGAAAAACAATCCAAGCTGAACTCTCATGATTAATAGCAAACAATGTTAAGGAGTTGAAGACATGTATAACAAAAAATAAAAAAACATTTTCTCTTAACCTCTATCCAGGGGACACTTTGAAGGGGATTCTTTCAGTCCAGCAAATCTGAAAAAAATCACAACCTCTGCAATCAGCATGGAGCTTCAGAAGATGAACGGACACAGCAAGGACAATGGGTAAGTGTCACAACTTCAACTTAAAGGGGCCATATTAAACTCATGTTCAGGGTCATATCAGTATGTAGTGTCTCTCCTGGGACATGTCTCCATGCTTTAATGTTCAAAAAGCTCTTTATTTTTCTCTTACTGCCTGTGCTGCAGCACCTCTTTTCACCCTCCGTCTGAAACCAGAGCCCAGTCTGCTCTGATTGGTTAGCTGGCCGGCTCTGTTGTGATTGATCAACCGCTTAGAGATGTCCCGCCCCTTAGTCTATCACGTACAATGTGTTGGAGCGCTAGCCAATAGAAGAATCCCCAACCCTCTGCAGGGAACTTTGGGATTGTAGTCTTTGCAGACCATTTACATGCACACAAACCTAATTGGAAATAACAAACTACAGGAAAGGGAAAACCCCAAAAAGCATAATAGGGCCTCTTTAAGCTATTAAGATTATGATTCAAAGGTGTCTTTAAAAGTGTATTTAAAAAGCTGGAGTATTTCGGTGGCTCTCTTAAACCAATGACTTTTATTCCATTGAAGGTTTGACGGTCTGGATGGCTTGGCTGAACACGACGAGTTTCTCCCCCACAAAGCTGGAGTCAAGAAGGAAAACCACTTCACAGATGTGAGTGCTTCTGCTCAGCAATATGTTAGAAAACATATTGTTGGTTTCTGTTGTTGATTCAGATGAATAAAGACTTTTCAAACGGTATCTCTGTGTTTAATCCTCTCCTACAGTTCGAGGGGAAGACTTCTTTTGGCATGTCCATCTTTAACCTCAGTAACGCTATTATGGGCAGTGGGATTCTGGGATTGGCTTTTGCGATGGCCAACACCGGAATTATTCTTTTTCTGTGAGTATGCAAGCCTAACACAATCTTCATTTTGGTTTAACACCGTGCCTGGCTGTTTCTCTGTGTGTTTGTGTATTTTTCCAGCCTTTTATTTGTTCAACGCTCAGTATTAAGTCGTAATATGATCCCCAATTGAGTAGTAGTATCTTGATTTCAGGATTTGGAAAGCCAATGTTCACACAAGGCTGTTTGTCGTATGTGTTAGAGTTTAAGGTATGAGTTTTAGAAAATGATACGGTGGAGATTTTAAAGTAATTTTTGCTGCTCCTGACCTACTATATAAGTTTTTCCAAGGCCTTATTTAAAAAAACAAATACTTTTATTCCTTTATATTTAAAAAAAAAAAGCTTTTATCAATCATTAAAGGTGGGGTAGGTAATTTTGGAGAAACCAGCTCGAGTGCGCTAGAATTTGAAAATACACAGCGGGAAAAAATCTGCCACTTCCTCACAGAGCCCCTCCTCCAACACACACGAACACGCACATGACCAATGAGGGCACGAGATAAGTTTGTGCACAGATGGATAGCTGAGAGGCAGGTAGGTGATTGGTCGTGCTTTTTACAGTATTACGGCTTCCACAGATGACATTTTTTAATGGATTTTTTGTCAAAGCACTTCAGATATTCATTGCTATCGGGATGTTAAGAGCATTCCATGGAATATTACAAAAAGTGTATCTCGAGCCGGTTTCTCAAACTTACCTACCCCACCTTTACATCAAAACTTTATTACAGACTTAAGGTCCAGATAGAACACAAGTACAATCGTAGAATAAATGACATACAGAAGCATAAAAACCCTTGGAAACTGCATTTACTATATCTTCCTACAATGAGGCAAACTCTACAGATGTCTCCACAGCTTTTACAGACCTAATTTATGTATATTTATATCAGTGTGTGTGTGTGTGTGTGTGTGTGTGTGTGTGTGTGTGTGTGTGTGTGTGTGTGTGTGTGTGTGTGTGTGTGTGTGTGTGTGTGTGTGTGTGTGTGTGTGTGTGGCCTAGCATTACCATCCTTGTGGGGAACTAAATCTGTTTACACAGTCACGTGTGGGGACAGGCTTCCCTTATGGGGACAAAATGGAGGTCCCCATAAGGGGAATCATTAATTTTAGGGTGAAGACTTGGTTAAGGTTAAGGGTAAGGGTTAGGCATGTGTTGGTTATGGTTAAGGTTAGGATAAGTCTCCAGGAAATGCATGTAAGTCAATGTAATGTCCCCTGAAGTGATGTATACATGGTATGTGTGTGTGTGTGTGTGTGTGTGTGTGTGTGTGTGTGTGTGTGTGTGTGTGTGTGTGTGTGTGTGTGTGTGTGTGTGTGTGTGTGTGTGTGTGTGTGTGTGTGTGTGTGTGTGTGTGTGTGTGTGTGTGTGTGTGTGTGTGTGTGTGTGTGTGTGTGTGTGTGTGTGTGTGTGTGTGCGCGCATCAGGGTTCATACACACGCAGCCTCCCTAAATCAGATTTAAGTGTTTAAAAATAGCCCGTAGTGATCAGATCCAAGAAACGCCTGCTGGATCAGTCCTGTGCTATGTGGCAGGAGGGAGGAAGGGGGGAGGAGAGGGAGGAAGGGGGAAGGAGAGGGAGGAAGGGGGGAGGAGAGGGAGGAAGGAGAGGGAGGAAGGAGGGGAGAGGAAGGGGGGAGGAGAGGGAGGAAGGGGGAAGGAGAGGGAGGAAGGAGGGAGGAGAGGAGAGGAAAGGGAGGAGGAGGAGGTCTGGACTGGAGAGCCGCTCTCTCTGGAAGACAAACTAACTTGTGTAGGTGGAGAAGAAAAAACAACAATGACAATAATGGCTTGTTCGGATTGAGCTTCTCGTTTCTAAAGAGAATAACATCGTTTTTCTCTCTTTCTTTCTGTCTGTATTTATTTTTAATTAATGAGCTCAGTTTTAACTCTATATTAATCTCCAGATTTGAAGGAGCTTTGATACAGATATTCTTCCTAACTTCCTCAGATCAATTATGTTTTACCATGACTTCCACACCTACTATTTACTGTTTTTTTAAATTTCCATTATAATAATCTTTTGTTATTTTGTGAATGTATTTTTATGTTATAATGATGTGGTTGTTATAATGATAAAGTGTCTCTCATCAATACGGTGGATCTCAAGGGGGTTTCAATATGCTGACATTTTATTTACCATGTATTTAATTGATTAATAGAGAAAATAATCTATAGTTGCAGCCTTAAAAAGTACGAAATATACTGTTTTTGTATATATATATTGATGTATATATACTGTATGCACAAAATATGTTGTGCCTTAGTAACCCCTTAAAAATTAAATGGTGCATCTCAAGGGTTTTATACTTATATTTAAATATGAAAACAAAGTATTCCACTGTACTTTACTTAAGTATTTAATTTAACATCCTGTTTTATCTTGTTCTAGTTCACATGTACATCGTTTATTTACTCCTGGACTTTTTATCGTGCCATTTTCTTACTTGCACCTTTTTCTTGCACTATTTATGTATTTTAAAAAAAACTTTTGTTTAAAGTATATTGTATGCTGCACTGTTTGAAGAGCGTCAGACTTTAGATTTTCCTTGCCGATATCTAAGCTCTAGCTATTGTGCAAATGACGATAAATCCGTTACATCTTTCAAACTGAGAGACCTCTGCTCGTGTGTTTCAGGATGCTGCTGGTGTCCATCGCCCTTCTGTCTGCATATTCAATTCATCTCCTGTTGAAAAGTGCTGGAGTTGTCGGTAAGCTGGATTCAACACACACACACAACTTAGCAAACAAAGCCATTTAGTTGTATAACTCCTCACTCATTTTGAATGTTCCTCAGGTATCCGTGCTTATGAACAGCTGGGAAATCGGGCTTTTGGCACCCCGGGAAAAATACTGGCAGGGTGCATCATTTCAGTACACAACATTGGAGGTTGTTATTTCCTACCTTTAAAGATTATTTCTTAATATATTTAAGCAAATGCATTTCACAAGATATTACTGACTGATTTCATTTCCTTTTAGCGATGTCCAGCTACCTCTTTATCGTCAAATCTGAGCTCCCTTTGGTTATTCAAGCCTTCCTCAGTAAACAGGAAAACACGGGGTGAGTGTCAGTCATATTGAGATGTATTCAGTTTCTGTTTGTCTTTTTTTGTAATGACTTTTTTCTTTGTTCACCTGTTTGTCTGGTTGTTTCTTAGAGAGTGGTTCTTGAATGGAAACTACTTGATCATAATAGTTAGTGTTGCCATCATCCTTCCTCTTGCACTCATGAAACAACTTGGTATGTTTTTCTGTTGTCACATTTCTCTTTCATTTAACTTTTTATTCCTCATACTTTCCCATATTATCATGTTTTCACTTCCTTTTCACATGGACTGTACTTTTATGTGCTTTTCTGAAAAAGTACCATCACTTCTTAATACAGTTCTTAATATGGTGTTATCATTGCCCACAGGTTACCTGGGCTACACGAGTGGCTTCTCCCTCTGCTGCATGGTGTTCTTCGTCATTTCAGTGAGTGTACAAATATTCAGGAAAGATATACACAGTATTTCACAACAAAACCACCTGACCACATTCCCTGTGTTTTTCACACACTCCTGGGTTTATTTTTAATATATTTATATTTATTATAATAATAAAGGGTCAGTCAGTCTGTTAATTAGTCATTTAGTTAATTGGCTTGCTAGCTTGTTAGTGAGTTAGGTAGTCAGTCAGTCAGTCATCTAATTATTGATTTAGTTAACTAGTTAGTTAGTGAGTTAGTGAGTTAGTTAGTCAGTTAGTTAGTTAGTTAGTCACTTAGTTATTTAGATATCTAGTAAGTTAGTTACTTAGTCACTTAGTTTGGTAATTTGTTAGTTATTAAGTTAGTCAGTTAGTTAGTTAATTTGTTAGATAGTTAGTTAATTACTTAGCTAGGGTAAGGCAAGGCAAGGCAAGTTTATTTATATAGCACTATTCTGTACGCAACAATTCAAAGTGCTTTACAAAACAAAGGGTAGTTAGTATGTGAGTTATTTAGTTGGTTAGTAAGCTAGCCAGTCCGTCATTAGTTAGTTAAAAAGTTGGATAGTTTGTTTCTTTGTTACTTAGTTACTTATTTAGTCAGTCAGTCCGTCAGCTAGTTATTTAGTTACTAAGTTAGTTATTTTTTAGAATAATTCACATTAAATTCCTTGTATGTTTAAACCTACTTTGCAAAACCCTGTTTCTGATTATGATGTTTTTCTAATCATTATTTATCTTTGGTTTTCCCAGGTTATCTTCAAGAAATTCAACATCCCGTGTCCCCTGGTTGATCAACATCAAAACAACTTTACAAGTGTTAATGTTATCAAACACATGAATGTGACAGACGACTTCTGTGAGCCCAAAATGTTTACCACTAACTCACAGGTCAGAGGAATTTGTTTTACTATCCCTGCGCCTAAGTCTCTGAATCTTTAATGTATTCCTTGGTTAGCACCATAGGCTGTTTTTGGTTAGCATGCCAGATTCACTCTCATGTGTTAGTATGGCTAACGGTAGAGGTTGTTATGTCAACAGCAATAAAGTGTACAATGTCAACAGTAGTGTTTGGTTTAAAATATGGATGTGTTCTCGAATGTTTGTCCGGTGGGTTATTCACTGACCTTTGATATGACTTGCTTTTAGACAGCGTACACCATCCCAATTCTGGCCTTTGCTTTCGTCTGCCACCCCGAGGTGCTGCCAATCTACACCGAGCTACGAGAGTAAGTCAGAATGCCGTCATGCATTTCACAAAATCTAAAAAATAATGATCTTATTGGAACACAGAGAGATGTGCTAAAAGGTTAAGGGAAAAATTAACATTTTTCCTAACATTTAATTAAAATACATTTTCTGCTTTTCTTTACCACAGCGCCACCAAGAAACGAATGCAGAACATCGCTAACGTCTCCATCATGGCCATGTTCTTCATGTACCTAATAACGGCTCTTTTTGGTTACCTCACGTTTTTTGGTAAGCAGTGGTAAAATAAGTATTTTTACTTAAAGGTGGGGTAGGTAATTCACTTCAGAAACACTTGTTGTTATATTCCATGGAATGCTCTCAACATCCCGATAGCAATGAATACATTAAATGCTTTCACAATAAATACATGAAAAAAAAAAAATCTGTGGAAGCCGTGGCGCTGTAAAAAGCACGACCAATCATCTGAGCCGGCCCGGCTAAAGTAACTGGATGGCCTACCTGCCTGTCAGCCTTCCATCTGTGCACAAACTTATCTCGTGCCCTCATCGGTCATGTGCGCGTTCGTGTGTGTTGGAGGAGGGGCTCTGTGAGGAAGTCTGAAGGAAGGGGCAGATTTTTTCCGGTTGTGTATTTTCAAATTCTAGCGCACTCGAGCTGGTTTCTCCATTCTTACCTACCCTACCTTTAAGTAAAAGCATCAATAATACATGTGAAAATACACTGCTACATGTAAAAGTACAAAAGTATTGGCACCAAATTGAACTGAAAGCACCAAACGTTAAAGTACTTAATGGACATAATAGCACATTTTAGAATCAAAGCAAATCAAGTTTTATTTATAAAGCACATTTAAAAGCGATTTTTGGTCGAGCCAAAGTGCTGTACATATAATAAAAACACATTACTACAACAGAAATATAAAAAACAAAAACACAGGGAATAGTCCGGTGTCATACTCCGCTCTGACTAGAAGGCCAGAGAGAAGAAGTGTGTCTTTAGTGTACATTTAAAAATCATAGAATCATATATATATCACATTACTTAACTATTGATGCATTATTGTGTTAATAACTTCCACACTGTTACATGGGCGCTGCACAAGGATGGGTTGTATTCACAGTCTAAATGTCCCTCTGTGTGCAGTTCTGTTTACATGTGCGTGACAATTAAGAGAATATTTCATTTAAATCTTTCATTTCTATTTCCATTTTCTAAAATGAGAGTAAAGTTTTTTTCTTCCATATGCTGTCTCAAAGAGCTGGCTTTGTCGGTCAAAGGTCACCTAGTTCAGAAGTTGTGAATGGGGATATTTTTAAATGAATGAGCCACTTGTATCCAGAGCCCATGTGTACTTTCCAGTGTTGTGAATGAAGGGATAGACCACGTGTAAAGAGCTTCTGTGTGTTTATGTGTGTTTGTGTGTGTGTGTGTTCAGGTGCTGTGGAGTCAGAGATGTTACACACCTACAGTCAGGTGAACGCCCTGGATGGCCTGATGCTTTGTGTACGTCTGGCCGTGCTGGTGGCCGTCACTCTGACCGTCCCCGTTGTTCTTTTCCCGGTAAGACATCTGTCAACATGAATAATAACTATATTTAGGTTATGATTTCCTTACTCTTTCCACAAATTCAACACACTTTACATAATAACAAAAGTAGATTGAGATAAAATAGATTAAACGAAGTGACACGAAAGAGAGGTTAAAAGAGTATGACACCATCTGCTGAATAATTGATTTGCTTAAAATAATGTTTCCGCCAAAATGGTTTCATCTTCTAAATTGTGTACATTTCAGTTTTTCTTTGTTGCTTTTGGACCACAATCAAACATTCAGGGCCGGCCCTGACCAATTTGCCGCCCTAGGCAAGATTTTAGCTGGCGCCCCCCCCCCAAATGCAGACACTTACTATGACTCGTGCATGCACGGTTGAGGCATGACCACCAAAACAGAAAGATATGGACACAAGATATGTGCAACTGTATTTAGTTTCCTATCCATTTGAACATGATTTAAGTGGGGGGGGGGACTTCACCCTCTCTAGGGGGGTCCGGGGGGCATGCACCCCCGGGAAGACTTTTTTTTTTTAATATTGAAGTTAAAAGCATCAATCTGGTGCACTTTGAGAGCAACATTAGGAGATCTATGGATACATCTCTCAACACCCATATGAAACAGAACTGTAAGCAGATTTTCTTTTTCTTTATGGATATTTTACAAATCACTCCCCTTTCAAACTGTATTCTTGTTTATTAATAACAACTTTTTTGTACTGTCAGTATTTTATACCTGTTTTTCACCTATTCTCTTATTTTTGTATAACTATAATGATCATATAAAGGTGTGCCTTTACCTCACTGAGCTGAGCTTATCAGAGCCTCTCAGTCTTTCAGGAGAGAGCTCTCTAAAGCTCTCACCCCCGCGGCCGCTTACAATGTAAATTCCAATGTTAACAAAAGCACACAGAAGCTGTGTACGTTTTTTGGGAGTTTTATTTATTTTAAATTAACGCAAATACAAAATTAAAAACTATAATTGCACACTAAAACCATTATTTCAAAAAAAGAACAATTTCACATAAACCTCTGGTTTTTACTGGGCAGTTCAACTTGATTTTGGGGGGGTGGGGTGTGTGCCATAGTTTATGGGCGCTGCACGCAATATAGGTGTAGTTCTGTTAGTATAAGATAATAAGATGTACTTTGTTGATCCAAAATCGGGAAATTGTGTTGTTATGAAATTTAAAAAGATATATTTTTTAAATTTCTAACTTTTTTTTTTCTTTTTCGGCGCCCCCTATGGGTTGATGCGCCCTTAGCATTCGCCTATACTGCCTATGCCGTGGGCCGGCCCTGCAAACATTCAATTTGCCAGAATTTGATATCCCAAATAATACAAATATCAATTAGGAACAGTAATCCATAGTTGCAGCCTTATAGAACTTTATAAAAATGTATATAAAAATGGCCTTATACAAAATACTTGAATAGGATTTTCTATACAGTATAACATTTATTATTTATTTAAAATGTTATATGATATTATTACATTGCATTGCATGTAGCTGACGCTTTTATCCAAAGCGACTTGCAATACGTGCATTCGACCAAGAAGATACAAACTTGAAGAAAACAGAATCATAAGTACATCAGGTTTCATAGAGCCAAAACATTTATTATATTTATTATTTGTATTTCTATGTATACAAAATACTTCTAAAATGCTGTAGATAGCAAAACAAAGCAAAGCAAAAACCTTCATACAACAAAATAATCAGTTTCTCAATGTGTTTCTCAATTGTTTCCAATGCGAATGTCATCATGGAAATATATGCCACAATTATATGAAATGACAATGACCCCTAGTGGTAGTAAGTTGTAGAGACGTAACAGTTCTACCCAGAATAAACTTGAAAAAATGTTGATGTAGCATCTTAACCACATTGCTGATCCTGCCGAAAAATGATGTCTGACTCAAAGAACATGACTAGTTTTATAAATAAATACACTGTAACTGTACTGTTTCAGTTCTGTGTCTGTCAGTGTGTAAATTATGAACACAGCTATTTATACCTTAATGGTGTGTTGACTGTATGGACTTAACATAACTTCTGAATATACAGTAGTTGATAAATATGACCATTCAAAATGTAAGCAGGTTTTTAAAATGGGTGGAAAACATCCAAATAAAAAATGAATGGTAAAGATACAGAGCAGATCAGCAAACACAAACTGTAGTCACAAACCTTTAAATGTCAGATAGACAGTGTTTGACATTTTGGGAAGTGTCACCTAGCTTATGTCCATCTTTTCAGTATAAAACTGGTGCCAATAGACAGGGGTCATCCCTATGTTCCCACAGCCCAATGGTCCCACAGCCCAATGGTCCCACATTTCTATATTTAAACAAAAACATTAGGCCCTATGTTCCCACAGCCCAATGGTTAGGGTTAGGTTAGTTATAGTTAGATTACTTAGAAATGTGGGACCATTGGGCTTTGGGAACATAGGGCCTAATTTTGAAGAAAAAAAACACATTAGAAATGTGGGACCATCGGGCTGTGGGAACATAGACATGCTCCCAATAGACAGATAGCATAGCTAAGAATGCTAGCTGTGAAATAGCTCCAAAAGTCCAAATATGTTATACACATTGTATCTCATTTTAAACCCTCATAGATATGTTTAAGGTGTCACGTTTGGGTTTTACAACAGGGTAATCCATTTTGTATTCTCTCCACTCTCTGCTGTAAGCTTTTATAACAAAGCCAGACAAGCTATGTCTAAGCTAATCGCTAAGCTAACCTGCAGCTATAGTTCCAGCTTCATATTGAACTGATGAATTTGATTTATATCTATCTTCTCATCCCACTCTATCAAAGAAAGCAAATAAGCACACAGTATTTTTCAAGTGTGTTGCACTTCTAGTCTTAACTAATATACAATAAGCAGGCATTTTAATGGAAAATGCTAACCTGCTGGGAGGGGATGTAGTCAAGTTGCTGCCTGTATTGAGTTTATCTTCCACATGGCTTTATGAAACAGCTTTTATATCGTTTTATTTATTAATCCTGATGCATCTTGTTGTAAAGTAAAGAAAGTCATGACATTGTCCCTCTTTTCCAACCTTCCCCCTGTAGATCCGCAGGGCCTTGCTGCAGATGTTCTTCCCTAACAAGCCTTTCAGCTGGCCGGTGCACATCGGCATTACATTTTGTCTCCTGTTTGTGGTCAACCTGCTGGTTATCTTTATGCCCTCCATCCGCGACATATTTGGATTCATTGGTATGTTTTATGCAGGAAAGAGTGGCTGCACGGTCTGGGCTTCCATTATTATCATCATGCCTAAACTGTGTTATGTGTACTGTGTTTGGCTTTAAGAAAACTCACTTCTTCTCCTCCTTTAACTTCAGGAGCCACAACTGCCCCCAGCCTCATCTTCATCCTTCCTGCAATCTTCTACATCCGTATCATTCCTGAAGACCAGGAACCTTTGAAGTCCAGACCTAAGATTCAGGTACAACTCGGCTCCTTTAGCTATTTCAAATACCTTAAATATAGTAACAGATCGCTACCATAACATTTATGTACCAGATCTTTCCATTTTTCCATTTATCAAGATACCATTTTTTTTTACCAGTTTCTTGTAATTAATAATGGCTACACTTATCACAAGGAATAAGTAAGAATCGTTTCCTTTAATTTCTTCTGGTGTTTTTCCAGGTAATAGTATATGTGGTATTGTATTTAGAGAAATACCAAAAGTAGCTGACATTTCTCTCCTAGCCATTTCCCAGAAACCGCTAAGCCTTAGATGACCAAAATATATGACTATGGTTTGACTTCTGCCCTAACCATCCTCTAATTTTGAAGTAAAACAAATGTTTTACTAACTTCAAATATGGGGTGCCTCAAAATAGTGATTAAGAATCTTCTACATGTATCATTTCCAGTCATTAGATTTAGTTGTGTTATGATTGGTTTTGCACCTTAGTTCCTAATGAGCTGATGGTTTAATGCAAAAAATGCATACATTATTGTTACGTTAACAAAGACTTAGTTAATGGTTGTTCTTTTAACCATTTTAATTAGGAATTTTGTGTCCACCCAGGATACGTTATACTAAACGTACATTTTAATTAGTTTAAGTGTGTTGTTGATACCAATGTCCATTTATTCCTTTCCCCTCCTGCAGGCTGCATGTTTTGCTGCGTTGGGAGTCGTCTTCATGGTCATGAGTTCGTCGTTTATCATCATCGACTGGGTGACCGGGGAGTCTCGGAGCAGAGGCGGACACTAACTGTCTCAACAGAGAAACTAAACGAACACAATGCCATCCCAAACTCTCCCTGTTATTAAACCCCTCCTCTCTTTTAAAGCCAAATAGGAAAACAAAAGTTTGGCAGCACAAGATGAAGGATATGTGAAGTTCTCCTATACAACAGAAAAAATAATAATGGAGATAAATGAGAATACAAAGAAATGTGTTCTGACTGAATACAAAGGCATGCCTCGCTATAAGGATGTTTGGAGGCATGTGTAGAAATGCAGCCAAAGGATGAACGGGAACAACTTGACTCAAATGGAAATTCCATTTAGAGTATGGATGTGTAAAGTTCCTTTCGACACACTTCCCCACGCAGAAATTTGTGTCGTATTTTGTCACTTGCTTTTCCCGGGAGTTTGCATACATAAATGAAAATTTCAGTTGTCCATCCATCAGTTGCTGTTTCAATATACATTCAGGACTGTCAAAAATGCTGGTGCTTTGTGTCCAAATTACCCCAAACTTTCAAAGAAGCTGCAAAATACGAGCAGTGAGGCTGAGGCCAGACTAACCATACCTAAACACACTTTTCAATGACTTGTACATGGAGTTTAACATTTTCTTAATGTGACTTTTTTAATCTATACTGACACTTAACATGACTCCTGTAGAAGTGATCATCTTCAAAGCTGAGCCTGTGGTGGTCTTTTATAAATAATACAACAGAAATGGTGCAATGTGTGGTGTTCAGCTGCTATCTATGAAGGTCAAACACACAGTTAAAGACAATCACATGTGAATCAACAGAGATGGTTTGTACAGTTTTTTATGTATTCCTGAAAAAAAAAACGTTAAAACCCAGAGATTATACTTTTGTGTCATATTGAAAGAGGGTCTATCACACTTTTTAAAAAATTAATTAAGCGGGGAAAAATCCATTTAAAAAGTGTACATGAAATAATGTCAGTGTTAATGAAGACGTCTGTTATAGCCGCCCCAGAAACTGTTTAGTATGGTGAATAATGACCTATGGGTTTTTAAGTTTTAAACTTGTTTAAAATTTGACTTACAAACATGTTTTGACCTTTTTTTTGTTAATTTGAATGTTGATATCTGTCAATAAAATGTGTCTTTCATTTGTACAAAGTATCTTTTTAATCCACAGCTTAATCTCAGGTTCAGGATTCTTTATTTGGACCCGTAGATTTGTTTTGCAGATAAAAGACAAAAGGATCTTGCAAGTCTCTTCAGTGAGAATGTCACAAAATGATTTGAAAAGAAAAGCTAGTCAAAATTTAAAAAAAGAAATGACTTTTTTAAAAGGGAAGTGACATTTAAAAAAAGGGCACATTCTAAGAAAAAAGGCATATTTAGAATACCTTTATTCGTCCCACAGAGGGGAAATGTACATTTGTTACAGCAAGTAAAGAAAAAAGATAACTTAGTATTAATTCAGAAGCATGCATGAACATTTTAAAGATAAAAGTAAACAAATATTACTATTTACAATTTACAAAATACACATCCAGTACCGTAACAGTTTTGACAACACTGCTACTGTGACAAAATTATTTAAATAAAGTCTTTATCTGTCTATTTATCTATCTATCAAAAAACATTTAAAACCCACAAATACAAACATGAGCAATCCACAAAGGTAATATATAAATAGGCATTACAACTGTGTGACACTACTACAACTACTTTGTGTAATAATTCACTAAAGTGGTTGTAAAATGAATGCAGTCACAGCATTAGAAGCCATAGTGCACTGCCTCTCTCTGAAAATGGAAGTCACACATTCATTCGTGCTCCTGCGTCTGAGAGAAAGAAGAAAAGTGGGGGTTAGAGAAGTGCGGTTGTCCGCTTCCTGCTTTCAGTTGATGTGTGCGCAGAACAGAGAAGAGAAACTTCCTTGACTATAGAGCTCAGTATTCTGAACAGAGGACGACTGTCTTTTTTTTGTTTCTTTAAATGCTGTACACATTCACTTGAGACAAGCTGGGAGATTTATCAGCATGAGCCGTGGATCTAAAACTAAATCGGAGGGTGCCAGGAGCTCTCTGCTGAGCCAACAGGAGAATGAGAAGTGTGAGGAGCTAATGGGCAGAAGATGTGCTGTAAGTTAAAGCAAACTGGGGAAGGGGGGGGGTCCCACCTGCTGTATTTCTCTTGACTTGTGTACTACCTGATACAGAATTTGTCGTGCAAGTGGAAAGGAGTGGCCGTCCAAGATAATACAGGTTCTTCTGGTTGTTCCATATAGTAATGTTGTCTCAGCCCTTAAGGCTCTTGGATATCCTGAGTTTGAATGTGCGCTGTGGATTTATTTAATGAAGTTTATTTGAATTCCAGTCGATTTATTTAATGACATTTATTTTAATTCCAGTCTTACTTTGACATATGTTTCCGTCACAAGACTGTGAACATGCAGTTTAAAATGTATTGCTGACATTAGGTCATCAGAAAAGAGGAGGTAGCTGTAGCAGGAAATGGTGGCTGAACCATTTCCTCCTCTGGTGTCAGAATTAGACTCTAGTGTTGTTTAGTCTTACAGTAGAGCAGAAGTTGGCTTTGTTCCTGACTTTGTTTAAGCCACTGAAGTAAGCACTGTCAGTGAGCCGCAACACATTGACTCTAGCTGCATATTTCGTATGCTATCTGTGCATGCAAATTTAAGAGCAGCACAGCACTTTAAAAAAGTTGTTGTTTGAACAAGTGAATGCACGGAAGTAGATCCTCACCACACATTTACATGAGCTGCAATAAAAGTGTCCTATCAGATCTTATGTGTTTTGTAATGCATGTTTTATCTCTTTTGTGTGTTCAGTCCATGGCCACTGCAGTCGCCCAGCTGTTCATGGCTCTGCCTCACAGCCCCTCGGTGTGGAGCCTGCAGCAAACGGGAGTCGTGTGCTTCATCAAAGACAACCCTCAGCGCTCCTACTTCATACGGATGTTTGATATGAAGGTAACCTCACTGACACAGGTGTCATTTAAGCTGGGGAAGCTGGGGGAAACACTTTTTTAAATGGCCAATATAGTCCCAACCACTTTTCTAAAGTACATCTTGTTGAAAAGGTTCTGAATTTATTTTATTCAAGAAAGTATAAATGAACATCATGCACTATAATACACACCAAACATTGACATTGGTGTACACAGGTACACTTACAGATACAAATAAAGTGTAAAATAAATATAAAGAAAATAGTAAGGAAGTAAACAAAAGTGAATGATTAGGCGAAATATTTATCAAATTCAATATTTTTTAAATTTCTAATCATTGTTGTAATTCTAAGTAAAGATGTGTAAACATGTGGTTAAGAGTCAGTCCATTTCTTCACGGGAAATGTATACATTTAGTTGTATTAACATTTTTCTATCAAATCCATCGCCTTAAAGGTTTATAAAAAAGTCCTCATCCTGAAGTTGTATCGTTTGTCCCGTTTTTCTTTTTAGAAAATATTCAAAACAGACAAATTACAAATTGTTTCTACTGTTCAAACTTGTTGGTGTATTTCCGGAGACCCAAATGTGACACAGTTAACATCAGTGAACTTTAAATATAAAATAGAAAGAGCTTCCGCTTTGCAGCAGCAGGGCCCAGGCGCTAAACTAGTTGCCAACTAAATTAAATAATGTAACACATGATTGACACAGTTTATTTTAGTCTAAGGTTAACATTATGCTTTTATTTGTTTATGCTGTAAGCTGTTGAGTTGGGTGTACAGCATTGAAATCAAAGCCATGTCTGCAGACGTCTTTAGGTGTTAATATCAGAAAATAGCCTATATGATACTGCGTGTGGGGGACTCACTATAGTTTGTTTTGTTTATCTGAAAAGTGTCCCCATCCTTTTTCTAAACAAAATGATCTCAGACTTCACTGCCATTGTACCAAGAGCTTGTTGTATGATTGCACTAAAGTATTTTGGCCCTTTTCAAACTAATTTAAGTCAAAAGTTTTTATGTAAAAATGATATCCTGTCTAAACATCAGTCAGGCTTCAGAAAGCAACATAGCACCATCACTGCGACAATGAAAGTGGTGAATGACATTACGAGTATTTTAGATAATAAGCAGAGTTGTGCAGCTCTATTTATTGACCTTTCCAAAGCGTTTGATACCGTCGATCATCGCATCTTAAAGCAGAGGCTACTCAGTATCGGCATATCCAGCCATGCAGTGGGTTGGTTTGTGAACTACCTCTCTGAAAGGTCCCAATGTGTTCACTTTGATGGGCTGTCTTCTGAGTGGTTAAACATTGCTAATGGTGTTCCTCAAGGTTCTGTTTTAGGACCACTTTTATTCTCCATATATATCAACAGTTTAGGTGAAAATGTGGATGAAGCTACTTTACATTTTTATGCGGACGATACCGTGATGTACTGTGCAGGTCCCTCCATTAAGGAGGCTGGTGTTAAATTACAGGCTGTTTTTAACATTATTCAGACTCAGCTCTCTGAACTTAAGCTTCTTTTAAATGTTGATAAAACCAAGGTAATGCTATTTTCTAAAGCTAAAAAGACACCAGAGCCTGTTTTGGATATTGTTACTATGCAAGGACAATTACTTGAAGTGGTTACCTGTTACAAATACCTTGGTATATGGCTTGATGATTGTCTTACTTTTAAACTTCATGTCAATAACCTGCTTAAAAAGCTGAGGGTTAGGCTAGGTTTCTTTTTCAGAAACAAGTCCTGTTTCTCTTTTGAAGCCAGGAAAAGGCTCTGTGACCTTTTTACCTGTGCTGGACTATGGTGATTTGTTGTATATGAATGCACCTGCCCATTGCCTGATCAAGTTAGATGCCGCCTATCACAGCGCACTGAGACTTGTCACAAATTGTAAAGCACTTACTCATCACTGTACCCTATATGCCAAGGCAGGTCTGTCATCACTTACTGTAAAGAGGCTCAGTCATTGGTACACGTTTATTTATAAAGCTTTGTTGGTTAAACTCCCGTATTATATCTGCTCTCTGATAACACAGAGAGTTGCAAGCAGCTATTGTCTGAGATCGCATGATGTAGTATTGTTAGATGTGCCAAGAGCAAGGACTGTCTTAGGTAAGACAGCTTTTATGTGCGCAGCTCCACTTGCTTGGAACAATCTTCAGCAAGAATTGAAACTGAGCAATCTCATTCCTCTGCATGTTTTAAAGCTAGGCTAAATGAAATGCTCGTTGATACTATGGACACTTGTAAATGTCTATAACTATGTAAATGTATCCTGTAAATATAATGTATGATGTCCTTTATTGCTTTATGTTTCATGTGGAACCTATATGCTGCAGGTCTCCCTTGAAAAAGAGATCTATGATCTCAATGGGACCAATCTGGTTAAATAAAGGTTTGAAATTAAATGAAATCAAATTACATTTTATTTATATAACCCAATGTCACAATACACATTTGTGTTTGCTCAATGGCATAACATCAACATTTGCAAGTAAACGTATAGCCCTAGCATGCCTTTCAACTAAACGCCTCGTTCTTATGAACTGGAAAGCCAGAAAGCCCAACTGCTTGAATTTCAATAGATGGCTGGAGGACTTCCTAAACATCTTAAGTATGGAAGAAGCTGCTTTCTCCCTGTGACATTTGGTTAAGCCAGACAACAGCCTTTGGGATAAGATAAGGGCTTTCCTGGACTCAAACCATCTCGGCTGCCAACAATAAATATAATAATATATATTAATAAATAAATATAAATAAAGAGAAAGGAGCTATGAAGAAACAGAAAAATAACGGTAATAATAATGAAAGAAGTGAAATTAAATGGGAAATGGGTGAATAGGTGAATTAATCATAAGAGAAAGAGATGTGTGTGTATATGTACATATGTATATATTTATTTATTTATTTATCTATTTATTTACCTATTAAACAATGACGCAAATGATGTATAAATATGCATACATCAAATGTAACTGACACTGTAATCCCCCTACCCCCCACCCTTCATGTTATGTCCTGTCCTACTTGTGATGTGTGTGAGCCATGTCCTTGTCCGTGTGTTTTTGTCTTTTGAAAATGTTTAATAACATATAAATATATATATATTTTTTTTTTTAAAACACATTTGTGTCAGTGGGCTTTACAGATAAAAAAAACATGACTGACAATAAAAAAATAAAT